TAACAAGTGTATATATATATATATATATATATATATATATATATACACAGTATATATAGTATGTGAATAGTGTGAATTCTTTGCACCTTGGTTTTCCATGTATCATTAAATATGCAATATCCCAAAGTGTTCATTAAAATATGTGGATGGAATTCCAGCTGTCAGTGAGTTTAATCAGTTTGCTTTACTTCCAAAATAAAGGCTGTGTATCTATAAACAATAAGATGCAAAACAATATATTAAATCCTTGAGATCTTAACAACATGCTGAAAAAAAGCTCCTTTTGGCGTGTTTCATTAAGCACCCTCGCGGTTGAAACACAAATAGGCAATTCTTCAGTCTGAGGGCACACTTGTTCTGCCGGGTAATGAACAGCTCACAGCCACTCCAGAGGCCTTGCCTCACTCAGCCAAGGGCTTTTATAAACTTCAGCTTGACAAAGAGCCATAAAGTACTCCATTATTGTAATAGAAAACACTGCCTCTCAGTTCATCATTTATTTTGCTTTGTGTACGTTAAACCTCAAGACTTCTGGCCGCATTGTGGCTTCGGACACCCTTAGTGACAGAACAAAATGATTTGTCAGGCTCGCTTTACAAGGGAGAGTACTCAGAGTGGAGGGCCTCGTTAATTATGTCCCACATTAATTATCCAAACAGGGGAGATATTAATTTGAAACGATTCATTATTCCAAATGTGTTTGAGAAATAAATAACCTCGCCGCTCAGGTGTTTTACATTCATCTCGGTTCTGTTGAAATGTAGGAGTACAGTAGCCGTTCGCTTCCCTCAGAATAGATTTGATTAACTTCTTTCTCTTTTTGCAGTGGGAGGAAATTAGCGGTGTGGATGAGCACTACACACCCATCCGGACCTTCCAGGTGTGCAACGTGATGGAATACAGTCAGAACAACTGGTTGAGGACCAACTGGATTCCTCGCTATTCTGCGCAGAAGATCTATGTGGAGCTCAAGTTTACCCTGAGAGACTGCAACAGTATTCCCATGGTCCTGACCTGCAAAGAGACGTTCAACTTACACTACCTGGAGACTGATGAAGACCAGGGAAGTAAGTTTCGCGAACACCAGTTCTCCAAAATAGACACCATCGCCGCCGATGAGAGTTTTACTCAGATGGACCTGGGCGACCGCATCTTGAAGTTAAACACAGAGGTCCGTGAGGTGGGACCCATGACTAAGAAGGGCTTTTACCTGGCTTTCCAGGACGTGGGAGCCTGCGTGGCCCTAGTTTCGGTGCGGGTGTACTTTAAAAAATGCCCTTTTACGGTGAAGAACCTGGCTATGTTTCCCGACACGGTACCCACGGACTCTCAGTCACTCGTGGAGGTTAGGGGCTCCTGCGTCAACAATTCCAGGGAGGAGGATCCGCCAAAAATGTACTGCAGTACCGAGGGAGAGTGGCTGGTGCCTATTGGGAAATGCCTGTGCAACATAGGATACGAGGAATGGGGAGTCGCTTGCCAAGGTAGAGTTTTTCTCTCACACGCACACTTTTCTCCTTACAGTGCCTTTTTCATTTCACGGACCATTTTCTTCCTTTCATCAGCGTAATGTACTAGCACCAGCACTGTAGACAGTGGCTCTAAATGGGACAACTGAGTGTGTCCCTGGAATACCATTCATTTGCTTATGCTGCTCATTGTCTGTAATGGCGAAGCATTTGGCTCACGATGGAAATGTTTTTAAACTCCATGGTGAGTTGAGTATCTGTCCCGCGCTCAGAGTGCAAATGGATTTTTCCCAGACACGGACACACCTCTGATCTGTCAGCCGTGCTCTGGAGAAATGAATATGAGAGTCCTGTGTAAGCGAAGACAGAGAAGATCTGTGGTGCAGACCCCCTTAAAGGGCAGCTTGAAGCAGTTAAGCTTGTGAAGCACTTCTCTGCATCAACTCATCAGACGCACAAATAGATGTACGTTAGTCATTGAAGAGGGATAAATGTGTCTGTTTGATGTGAAGCATATGAGATTTTTGCTGCATTATGTGGACATTTTTAGAGTCTAAAGACACAGATTCTCTTTATGGGCTCATATTTAAATATTTTAAACTGTTGAAAAGAGAATCTCTTTGTCTTGGATTACATTCAGAAAATCAGAGTTGTGATGTTAGAGTTCGGGTGTTAATGTAAATCACAGAGAAAGCCAAAGGACCATCTGTGGAAATATCATAGCATTAGGGGTACAACATCTTGTCCCTGGGTCAGTACCCTTACTTAGGGGTAAGTATTTACCCCTGAAAAGGTTCATAGCAGTTCCTTAAGGTGTTACTCTGCATTCTTTCAATGCATACCTTAAGGCAGTGGTTCTCAATTACAGTCCTCACGACCCCCTGCTCTGTACATTTTGTATGTTTCTCTTATCACTTCAGATGTTTGTTCTATTCGACCGTATAGTGCCCTGCGAAATGGACTTCACAGGATATTCCGCCATGATTCCAGTTCGAAGGGAGCATACATGTTCCATTCAAAGGGCATTAAAGTGTGCGAGACGTGAATTTAAATTGTATTTATTTACAGAGGTATATTATGTCAGACTTCACACTTTAGTAAGGTTCATCTGTGTGTGAAGACGCTGCAGTAGCGTAGCAGAAATCCGTGAATGAATGTTCCAAAGTGAAGTAAACTTCAATGTATTTCCTGTGCTCAGGCAGTAGGGATCAATTAATGAACACTGTGTAGGGACCCTGTCAATCGGAACACAGGATTGGAATTGAGAACCACTGCCTTAAGGTACTAATATGCAACTTTAGGGGTAGACAAGTCACAAAGTTGTCCTATTAAGGCTATTGTCCCAGTAACATGTTGGTGTACCTCTGAAGCAAGGGTGTCCAAACTTGCTCCTGGAGGGCCAACGTCCTGCAGAGTTTAGTTCCAGCTTGCCCTAATACATCTACCTGGAAGACCTTGATTAGCTGGTTCAAAGTTAACTTCAAAAGTAAAATTTTTAAAAATGGCCCGTGTTTGACTCCATTTTGTGTTCTATTTTCATTTTTTAATTCAAGAATGCGTCCAGAATGGCTCATAAAGTAGCTTGCTCCCGCAGTTCCTGCAAGTCTCTTTACACTATTTGGGTCAAAACCACGGTACTTTTGTACCATTGATGTGAGTGCAGTTGTTTTACGGTTGAGTATTTGTCCTTTTTGAATTTGCCATCTAAACTTTACATGCACAAAACCACATTCGCATTTGTCTGTCACAAATTAATTGAAAGAATGCAGAGCTGCTCTCAAATAAAATGTATTCAGAGGGGAGAAGTCATGAGAAATAGTCAGGAGCATGCTCAGGAATGGGAATAAGCGGCTCAGTCGGTTTTGTGTTTTGTAACAATTGCGAGCTCTACTGTACATCACGTATTCACTCCAGACCATCTTTTCGAATAGACTTGGGTGCGGACACCAAATTTGGAAATCTGTTTTCTCCCCAAAAAGCACAAAAGGCTTTCGTGTGACAGCGCCCTAAGAACATTTTGTCTGATGTGTATATGTGTAGGTCTTGCTGTGGTTGAGGGAACTGATAATAGATTGCCTGCCAGCTGGTTTGAGCGCTTCAGTCCTGCCCATGGTATTATTTGAGTTAAGCCGTCTCCCTGGAGAAATCACTTCTGCTCTTCATAAAATGCTCTGTCTAACCTCTACTTCAGCACTACCCGGAGATGTTTAAGAATTTCGCCATGCTTTCTGTCCAGCTGTACTCGTCTTGATGTGATAGTATCCCTGATTGCCGGCTTGTGTTCAGTCAGACGTCTGTGTTTGTGTGTGTATTTATGTGTCTGTTATGGAACACTATATGTGGAACAGCTGCAAAATGGGTCAAGAGGGTGTTTACATCAAGATGCATCTGAAACTTGCATGCCATAGGCAAAGTGATGAAGAAAACAAGACCACTCTACAGTTTTCGCTGCTCTAAAAAAAGTAGCGTATGCTCTTATTCTTGAGATTTTATTAACCATAGTAGCACTGATGGGATGAACTTGACTTGTTGTTCTAGTATTGTTATTGGCCATGTAATTGAAAGATAGTGGTTAAATCATTAAGGGTTTGTGACTTCTGACCTTGTGCTTAAAGTTTGAAGATCAAAGAACTTTCATCACTTTCATCTTATCACACTATGATTGCAATTCTTACGTTTTAAATTTGTTAAACAACTAATTAAAACGCAGACAAACTAACATCATTCCAATTTGTAAAAAGTAAAAAAAAAAGTGTTATCTTCAGTCTGAATCTGACTTTTTATTATCGTTAATTTTAATACTTAATTATTAATGAAGTGTTAAAAAAAAGCTCCCAGAAAACTTAACTGAACTTAATTAAACTGAGTGCTAATTTCTAAACTATATTACCATGAATGTTGAAATAAACACTGTCAGCTTGGTGGGAGCAATATTATGATTTTTAATACTTAACTCTTAAAATGTGCCGTTACATTAGATATTTTGTGGATTTGAGGGCATCGGGTGGACTATAGTACATGTTTATCCAGTTCTAAGTGTATATACTGTATTATTAGTATTACTGAAATAAATTAAATATATATTAATATTTTTTTCAGTTAACACTGGACAAATACTTACTATTAACTATCATGTAGATTACTAGCATATTGGCTGTTTATTAGTACTTATTAGTACTTATAAGTATTAGTACTAGTACTTTTAAATAAATAATAAGTACGTATCACATATAATAGGAGTTTATTGAGGCAAAAGTGTAACCATTCTTCTTTGTATAGCAAAATATTATATGTTAACCTAAATGATAAAAATAATGGATATATAAAGTGATAATATAATAAATATCAATATTTAAATATTGCACCGAATCTTACTTTTCAAAAGATTCTGTTTTCAGAATTGGATCTCTTTTAAAAGTTCCTCATTAATATGCTTAAGCAGACACTATTTCTCTCCTAATTCCTCATGCATCGAATGTGATTTATATGAAACAGATGTGATTTTGGCGTTTCTTGTTTTACCCCATCAGTGGAATAAAACGTGGAATCGGCCAAACACATGGTGAAACTGAATACAAATGCTGATGGCTGAGGCCTGACCATACATTTCAAATAGTTGTGCATGGTCATGCATTTTTGCTGGCTAGTTTTCTAGCCTGTGGTTTGGCAGGAGTCATGTAAGACTGATGTCTCTGAAGGTGACTGCTCCTTACAATTTATCAATCCAAACACTCATTTGTGGCGTGTAGAACCAGACGCCTATCAAGTGATTCAGCGTGTCTCTGGGATGTAAATGACAATGACAGGGCAATGGGAGGGCTTTGATAAGTACACAAATAAGTGAATGAACTAGTGAGTGAGTGAGTGGATAAATAAAGTGATGTATTGAAAGAGTTAACAAATGACTTGCGTAATGATTTAATGATTTTGAAAGAGTGATTGAAAGAATGAGTGAGCCAGTGTTATCTAAACCAATTAAAAACATTTCAGTAAAGATTAAATAAAATAAAATATAAATAGTAAATGTAAAGATGTGAAATAGCTGAAGCTGAAGTACTGCAACTACTAACTGAACATAAATAAAAACTAGAACTAAACAAAAGCTAAAACTGAAATAAAATAAATTACACATAAATAGTAACATTTAAAAAAAGCACATAAGAAAAGTAATAAAAAATAACCTAAAAAATTGAATGAAAACTGAAAATAGCTAATGCAAAACAACTAAAACTATAACTGAATTAAACATTAAACATAAATAGTCATATAAAAAAAAAAATAGAAATATCAAAAGCATATAACAAAATTACAAAAAAATTAAAACTGAAAATATATATACAAAATGCAAAGTAACTAAAAAGCATACTTAAGTAATAAAAAAAGCATACATAGTAATATTAAAATAATAATAAAAAAATATCAAAAGCATGTAAAAATGCTAACAATTAACCTATAAAATAAAACAAAAACTGAAAAATACATATAAAAGCTTATGATATATATTAATAAAAGCTATAATAATCAGTGTGTATGTGAAATTATGTGATTGATTAATAGATTGACTGACTGACTGACTGTGAGTGAATGAATGAATCTCATCATAATTTTTGTTCACTTACTTAACTGTCTCTCACATTTTTGAACATAGACGTGAAAATGCACGATCCAAACTTAAATTTTTATAATTCATGAACGAAAACATTTTGTAACATGACATTGATGTACCATTTTCATGGTAATGCAATGTTTGATTTTAAAATGGGTTTCAAAGGATGATTTTTCAGATTTAAAGTTTTCAGCTGATATATAATATATAATGTCTGATGATTTCTAAAGTGTGATAGAGAAAAAGGCAACAAAGAAGACTTTTTTTTGACAAAGGTCAGAACTCCTTGTTATGATGTAGATTTTTGAGGTGCACTCTTGTCAAACATTAATCTATTACTTTTCCTACATAATTTTGAACAAAAACATTGGTAAAATATCTATTTAGGAGTCTTAGACCTTTCCAACGA